GTCCACATCTGTGTCCCAGGGACCCATTTGCTGAAATGCCTGGGGTCTGGCTGTCTATGCTCCAGAGGACAATTTCCCAGCAGTGACCAAGCTGGAGTTCTTCGCATACAGGCCTGGCATATCTGCATATTTCCTGGAAACTCCCAATGAGTTAAGGACTCCTGGTGTAGTGCAGGGGTTCTCAACCTTTTTCTTTCTCAGCCCCCCCCCCCCCCATATGCTGAAAAAACTCCAGGGCCCACAAGTGCCCCAACACCTTATTCTGCATATGAAACTAGAGCCGGTGTCAAGTATTGGGGGTAGCCGTGTTAGTCTGTATCTACAAAAACAACAAGGAGTCCGGTGGCACCTTAAAGACTAACAGATTTATTTGGGCATAAGCTTTCGTGAGTAAAAACCTCACTTGCATCCAAAGAAGTGAGGTTTTTACTCACGAAAGCTTATGCCCAAATAAATCTGTTAGTCTTTAAGGTGCCACCGGACTCCTTGTTGTTTTTGTAGAGCCGGTGCTGGGGGTAGCAAGCAGGGCAATTGCCCAGGGCCCTACATCACAGGGGGCCCCACAAAGCTACATTGCTCAGGCTTCAGCCCCACATGGCAGGGCTCGGGGCCCTGGGCTGCGGTCCTGTGTGGTGGGGCTTTGGCTTTTTGCCCTGGGCCCTAGCAAGTCTAATGCTGGTCATGCTTGGTGGACACCCTGAAACCTGCTTGCGGCCCCTCAGGGGGCCCAGACCCCTGCTTGAGAACCACTGGTGTAGTAAACACATCCTGGCGGGTACCCAGCATGTCCGTCTGGCCCTGCAGGGATGCCTGTCATGTACTCATTGTGTGTGTGGCAGGGATGGGATCCTGTAACATGTATGTATTAAATCATTGTATGTGAAGGACCTGTCTGCCATGAAGGTGAACATTTAATAACTACACCTCTACCCCGATATAACACTGTCCTCGGGAGCCAAAAAATCTTACTGCATTATAGGTGAAACTGCATTATATCGAACTTGCTTTGATCCGCCGGAGTGCACAGCCCCGCCCCCGAGAGCGCTGCTTTACCGTGTTATATCCGAAGTCGTGTTATATCGGGTCGCATTATATTGGGTTAGAGGTGTAAATGCCAGTGCACCCCAAGGGCACCAGTTTTCCAGAGGTGCCAGGCATGCAGCATTACTGAGGGGATTCAGGCCTAGTTTCTCTGTCCTATCATCTGCTTCTCTTCTGGTATGTATTGCTAGTCAATGGGTGCTAACACGAGTGGTACACCGTCTCCAGGCGAGACATTGGGGTGAGTGCAAACACAGAGACAGCAGTGTCTGTGAGACATGCTTTATGGGGAAAAGAGCTGAGGTAATATTCAGAGTCGCCTCTGGCGTCTGTGAAGAACCCCAGCGTTGCTTCCTTTCCCTGCAGAATCATCTTGTCTGACTGCGATGGTGTGTACGTGAGATGTGTGCACACTTATGTACGTGTGTAACGTGTCTGACAGTGTGATTTAGGTGGGAGATGGAGTGTGCATCTTTGTGTGTGTGAGACACCTGCTTTCCAAGCACCCTGGGGCTATGCAGGTAATAATTAGTAATCTATACATGAGCCTGTGGGGGCTATTTCCATGCATCTTCTCTATGGGGAATTCCCCAGTGCAGCAAATTCACTTTGTGGGTGGATTGTTGGCTTTAGGTTTTGCTCTTAGACTTTTTTCTTAAAGAAAAATTTAAATCCTCTCCCCTTCCCCCAAGTCCTGCTAGAGGTCAGAGATATTTCTGTGTTTTCTGTGGAGAACTTCTCCAACGTGTGGAGCAGGAATTACCCCCCATTTGTGTTTGGTGATTTGCTAATCAGACTCTCTGGATGTTCTCAGTTGGCAAAGTGAGTGGCATGGGGATCTTGCACTGAAATCTTCTGGATTTCACTTGGAAAAGTCTCCTGGGTCTAACTAAACCACTTTCTCATGCCATTGGCATGAAGAGGATTAGCCAGTTAGCTACTTTCACATTGGCTTTCACTTGGTATTTGCTGCTTTTCATCTGGTGCTTGAGAAAGTTGTTTTATTTTTGAGGGGGGATTAGAAGGGAGGATTTTTCTTGTTTTTCATTTTTAATCTTGAACGTATCTAGGTCACTAGCTGCACGGTTTCTGCTTTCATTCACTGTATTGTTCCCATGGGCTCCCTGCACAGCCCCTGGAAGTACTTAAGGATAATGTGAAGACTGGTCACTGCTGGAATGGGAAAAGCAGCTCACAGAGCCACCTTCCTGCCCCTGTTGCTGGTGTTTGTTAGTGAATCAAGATGTGGTAATGGTTATCAAGTGTTAGGGTCCTGTGAGGAAAGGGACGGCTTTGGGTGGTGTAGAACCTTTGTGAAGCTGTCTTATCAGAGAGAACCCAGTTTGGTCAGATAGTTCAGGATATAGAGAGATGGACTTCCCAAATTTCATCAGCGCTAGAGGTGAGCCAGACCCAGAACTATGGATCCAACACTCACAGGCTGTGGTGGAGTTGAAATCTGTAACAGAATCTGGCATCTGGGGACAGAAGCTATGTGAAATTATTTGTGCAATATTTTTCAACAGAAAATGCAGATTGTTCGACCAAAACAATTTGTGAATTCAGGTTGATTTTCATAAATTGTTTCAATCAGGGGGAAAAAACCCTGGAAATGTCAAAATGGTTTGTTTCAGCATTTCCAAAACAAAATGTTTCATTTTGGAAGGACATTTTGTTTCACAGCATCCCTCAATTATATTTAAAAAAATGGAACGTTTAAAAACATCAAAATCAAAATGAAACTTTTTTGACGTTTTGGTTCACTAAACATGTTTGAAATATTTTTCTTTTGCATCGACCAGAAATTAATCTTATTTTTCAAAAAAAAAATTTGGACCTGCACTTGAACTGGATATTTTGCACTTGGGACCTTTAGCTGCCTTCCCCCAAGGTTAGAAAAAGAATGATTCATACGGTGACTCTTTTTTGTAAAGTGAGGAGGTGGTTGCCAAACAGCCTTTATTGGGGAAGAGAAAAGTGAAATGGGGGGTAGCTGAGAAATTATCTATTTGAATTACGTGAAACAGGGCAGCTTGTTACTTTTTGGCTCATTTCCACTTTGCAAACGAAGAATAATCTTTTGAATATTTAGAGTTCAGTATCCAATACCCAAGTCCAACATGAAAAAATAACTGCTCCTTCTTTTTCACTCTGACTGGGCTTAGGTTGTGCCCCCCTGGAAGGGGTTAAACCCTCGCTATGGACGTTGGCCTCTCTGATGGAGAAATATTGGGGAAGCTTGTCTGTGTGGGTGTGCATGGGTGTGCTTCTCTCCCCTCTCCCTGTGTGTCACCCCCACGTACACACCACCTCTGGTCTTGTGCTTGGTTGGAATCTTATTTGTGAGAACAAAGCAATAATACAAAGGAACAGAGGGAGGCTAGAATTACAAAGCCAGACCTCAGAGTCCTTTGTCGGGGTCAAACCCCCCCCCTTCACTAGATTAAAAACTCTGTAAGGGCTTCAGGATTTGACCTAGCCTGTGCCTGGGGCAGGATAAAATGAGACTCAAACTGGGAAAATTGAACTAAGACTTGAGCCTGTTTTGGAGATACAATTAAGAGGCCTCTCTTGACGTACAAAACGGAAACCTGTAACAGATTGACTCTGTTGTAACTGCTCCCTCTGACTGTTGTCATGTCCCTAGGGCCTCAGGCCTGAGCAGTTGTGAAATGTCCTTGCTCCACTACATTATACCACTCTTCGACTGTCTGTGTAGCAGCAATCCTAACCCCCTCCCCC